CTAGCAGGAAAAGGTAAATCTCTTAGATCTAAATCAGTTGGGCCGGTCTTTTTCTGCTGGACTGTGGGCAGTTTCTGCCCACAGTGAGCAGTGTCAGTTGGAGACTGGGTGGTGCTGGAACTGGGTAAACCTGCTGTTTCTGGAACAGAAACTGGAATCTGAGTTTCTTCAGCTGTAGGCAACAGAACTGGAAATTTCGATGTGTCAAAAGGATGTGAAATATTTTCTTGACAAATCGGTTCCATGGGTGTTTATTTTTCGGCATTAGAGTCCCCTAAGTCCTTATCACTTCTCAAAGTCACGGCCTTAACATGTTCCTTAGGTATTTTCGTGTCACTAGGCAAAGTTTCTTGAGGTCTATTCGTGAGATTCGCGGCAAATTGGCCAAGTTGGGTCTCAAAACTCCTTAAGGTTGCATTGGTTTGGTTTATAAAACCTTTAAGTAAAGTTTCGAGTGAACCATTACCCTCCGATGCATTTTGTTGCCTAGGTGCATGTGATTGTGAAGATTGTCCACTTTGGTACATGTGATGATTGCCTTGCATGTGATTATTACATTGCATGTGATGACCACCTTGATTAAATCCCGGGGGATTCGAAGGTCGGTTTTGAACTTGAGTTGCCCCGGGGGGTTGAAGTCCCGTATTTTCGGCCCATGAAAAATTCGGATGATTTCTCCAATTCGAATTGTACGTTGGAGAAAATGGGCTATTCCTTGTATGGTTCCCAACATAATTTACCGAAACGAGGTTTCCGGGGCAAAACTCATAAGAATGACTTTCACCACAAAAAACACAAGATTCAGTCATGGAAGAATTAGACATTATGGATTGGACTTGATTCTTTTCCCCATTTAAGTTTAAATTATTTTTAACCAAATTAGTTAGCGCAACAATTTGGTCATTCAAAGAAGAAATGACATCAAGCTCATGAATGCCTGAGGCAGATTTAGAAATGACAGCACGAGGGTTAGACCATTCAGTATTATTATTAGAAATTCGTTCCAAAATGTCATACCCCTCATTGTAGGTTTTTGCTGTAAAAGCACCACCGGCCGTTGCGTCAAGAATAATCTTAGCGGCACTAGAAAGTCCATTATAAAACATTTCTAGTTGAATACAATGAGGGATTCYGTGGTGAGGACACTTCCTAAGAAGGTCCTTGAATCTCTCCAATGCATCCGATACCGCTTCATCTTCTTCTTGGCGAAACGCCATAATTTCATTTCTAATCTTTACATTCCTCGTCGGAGGAAAGTATTTTTTTAGAAAATTTTCCGCCAAATCATTCCAAGTAAGGATCGAGTTTGGTGGTTGGGAATTTAGCCATGCTCTAGCTCTATCCTTCAATGTATAAAGGAAAAGCGTCAAGCGTAAGGCCTCTTGAGTAACTCCCGGAATTTTAAAATGATCCGTCATTTCAATAAAAGATTTCAAATGAGAATGCAGATCTTCCGAAGATAATCCCCCAAACTGACCCATAGCGGAAATCATTTGAAACATAACCGGCTTGGGTTCAAAAGATGTTGCCGTCATTTCGGGCCTACCAATTCCCGAGGCCAATTGACCAAATTCGGGAGTTGCGTAGTCCC